GAAGTTGGATGAATGCACGTCGTATTAGTGAAAAGTACGAAAAGGGAGTTGAAGAATTTTTGAAATTTGCTAGTGAAAATGGAAAAGCTATGAAAGGGGCATATTATTGTCCATGTGTTCGTTGTTTTAGTCAAATTCGTCATAAATTTAAGGATATACGTGATCACTTATTTGTTTATGGTATTATTAAGAGTTATACAATATGGACATGACATGGAGAAATATTAGACATCCCAACTGTGTCAACTACAAACAATTTTGATGAAGGGATGGATGATAATCTAGAGGATATGATACGTGATATTGATGACTTTTTTTTTTATGAAAACACATCTATATGATTCGTTAAAATTTGATTTTGCGCAACAATTGTACATAGGATGTAGTTTTACAAGATTATCAGCAACTTTAAAATTGTTTACTTTAAAAGCAAGAAATGGATGGACTGATAAAAGTTTCACCGAATTATTGGAGTTGTTGAAGGAGATGCTTCCTGAAGATACTTCCTGAAGATAATACATTACCTATTTGTAACTATGAGGCAAAGAAGATATTATGTCCAATGGATTTAGAGTACAAGAAGATACATGCATGTTCTAATGATTGTATATTGTACAAAAATGATTTTGCTAAATTAAAGATGTGTCCGACATGTGGTTTGTCGAGGTTCAAAAACAAAGTTGAGGAAAGTAGTCGTGAGGAAGAACTAAATGGTCCCCCTGCTAAGGTGTTATGGTATTTTCCAATTATACTTAGGTTTAAAAGATTATTTGCCATAAAAGAAAATTATTGTCACGAGGAGGGTATGCATTATTGGAGCAACGTCTCATGAAAGCCAGAGAAGAGTCAGCAGGAGTTAAGTCTACTGACCTTGCATCTCCACCCCCTCGCTATGAGATGTGGAAGGCAACCCAGACAAAATTTGATGGACAAATGACTTCTGAGTTTGCACGAATCATTGTTCAGAAAATCGTAAGTTATAATGTCAATTTGAATTGATTCTGATGTGAAAGTTAGTGTATGACTTAGTTATTGTTAATATGTTGTAGGATGATTTAGTTGAGCAGACCACCCAAGGATCATTTATTCCTCATGGTCGACAAGATATATTGGCGACAACCATAAGAAAACCAGATTACTCAGGATGCGTGCGTGGTACTGGTGGATCCTGGAGCCTTTGTGATTACTTTGGTCCAACATCACGAAGGACCACTGTCAACTCTTGCAGCTAGGAGGCCTTGCATAAAATGGATATGCAGTTTGAAGAAAAATTAAATCAAATAAGACAGTCCTTACAGCAAGAGTTTGATGAGAAACTTGAATCTTTCGCCCGCTCTCAGCAACAGACTCAAGGAACACCTCAAACAATTGAACATGATGTTGTTCGAGTCAGCACTAAAGGGAGTTGTGCTGCTACTGTTGCTGATCCTTCAGGAGAATATACTCAGACTGATGCATCACACCAGTGTGAGTTATATGTTGAAGATGACCCCCCGCATCTAGTGGCTATTGCTCGAGTTTTTTAGGGTGGTTTAACCATCCATGGTGTCCCTCTATAGGCAAACTGGACACAAGTAGTAGTTGATGAAGTTCATGATGCTAATGCTCTAGTGTCTTTTCCTAATGAAGATATTTAATTAGTGGGGCAGACAAGCGGGACATTCTTGGCTTGACCAAGACGTTTAGTTATGCCACTATCAGCACAGACCAAGGTAATATATATATTGTCTATTTTCTCTTTTCTAGTATTATAATTATATAAATGGTTAATTAATTGTTATCATTTGTTTAGGAGGACTTGCGTCATGCTAAGCATAAAAAACAACCTATTATTGATGAGGACATGACAGAATGTGACGATGATCCCATATTTATGTTGTTGATCATATTACCACGGTTGAGGAAGAGACCGTGTCAGATACAATGAGATGTTAGAGTGTTTGGAATTGACAATTTCGGTGTTCCATTATACATTTTCTTGTCCGATGCATTAGAAATTGCTGAGGGAAATTGCATGTTAAACATTTTCATCATACAATTGTGAGCAATGTAAGTCATTTTCATTTATGTTTCTAAGATTATAATAATTATATTCAACTTATAATTAATTGTTTTAAGTATACATTGACAAATTGAGAGTGAAACAAGAAAAATCTGAAGTATACGTATTTATTGAGCCTCAATCTATCCAAAAATCTGGAAATACAAAGGTTGGAATCCAACAATATATGCAAACATGGATGAGTGACTCAAAAAGACATATATATTTGGCTCCATACATTGAAGGGTTAGTATTTTAATTTGTATTTAATTTATATTTTTATAACTAATTTTTATGTCATACAATGTAGGTCCCATTGGCGAGTTAATTGTAATCAAGTCCGGGATTACACTGTGGTGTGGTTTTGTTCATTACATCGGAAATCGAGTCAAGAAATGAAAAACTTATTACAAGGGTAACTTTATCTTTTATTCATTAATTATGTTTTTAAATTGTAAATACATATTGAATAATATATGACTTTTTTCACTTAGAATCGTGTCCGGAACTAATGTTCTAAGTGGAAAACCCAAAATAAAGACTTTGCAATTCATTTATCCTAATGTTAGAAACTTATTTATATAAGTGAATACCATAATTATTGTTTGTATTTAAATTTTGAAAATAACATTATGTTTTATTCATCATTTCAGTGTAATAAACAAGTAGACTCATTTGAATGTGGTTACTATGTAAGTAATTGGATGAGAGTCATAGTTTGTGCAGGTATAATTGATTCTTGGATGGAGGTAATTGCTTTTAACATTAGTTAAGTTTATTTAACTTTATGCATGTTGCATATTTACAAGAATCAAATTAATGTTTCGGTATTTCAAGATCCATCTCTATTGCAAAAATATGATATTATACAAATTAGTGAACAATGGACAAGGTTTTTCGTTCAACAATTCTAGTACTTAATTTTTTAGGTTATTGTTTATATTATATTGTGTGTATTATGTAGTTTAGGTAGTTTAGTTTGTACTAACTTTTAGTTTGTAATAGATTTTAGTTTGTATGTTTGTATTATATTGTTTTATTATGTAGTTTGAATTATATATAATATTATATTTTTAATTTACTAGCTAAAGAAATTTGAACCTCTGGATCTGTCTGGTTGTAATATATATTTGCAGGTTTTAGTTGTAAGACAAAATAAACCCAATTTAAAAAAAAAAACAACAAATTTACGTCGCATATTGATATACGCGACGTAAATTTGCTTCTTCTTTTTTTAATTTTTGAAACGTTTTATGTCTATTTAGTAGTATATACAACGTAAATTCACGTCAGATCTCGATAACTGACGTAAATTTACGTCAGGCTAAGGGGTCCGACGTAAATTTACGTTTCCCATATTAACATCGATCTTCATTACGGGGTAAAAAATCCAAAATATCTAACGTAAAAACCTCCTTTTTGCACTAGTGTGATTAAAAAAATAACATTATTATTTCGAATAATTTGTTTTTTATTTATTTTGAAAAACGTTCTTAAAAAAAAAAGAGTCTTCTAATAGGAAAGTAATACCAATATTTTGTTGTGAGAATAAAGAGTCCAAAATTCATTTTAATTACTTTATTTATCACAAATGATACATTAAAAGTCTTTTCTCGTAAAACTACTCAGTCTTCAAAGATTAATAATAATAAAAAAGGTATTCAACGCATGATAGTTTATTTCTTTTTATGAAGACAGGAGATTAGTAAAAATTATAAAATAGAAAATTTAAACTTTAACTTAAATATTCAGTAATAATTAATGGGTTAATATATATATTAATATGTTAAGTGATATCAATACTTTTTTAATAAATTCCTTTTGAGCTTCTAAAATCATAAATTGATAATTTATTTTTCCTTCAAAAAAAGTTTACTATTTTAATTCTGCTTTATTATTTTATAAAAAAATTGGGGAGAGACTTTTACAAATTTAAAATTAAATAATAGTTAATAGAAACAACTTTTGTTATGTACATTTTTTGAATATTGGCAATTTGTACATTGGGATTTGTGTGGTGGACAAGGTTATACGATTCTCTATCTTATGCATTAAGCAATTTAGTAAAAAAGTGTGAAGTGAATCAAAAAAACACTTTTGGTGGTGAGCAAATTGGAGCACGCGTCCTACTGGTCAACCCACTATCCTTAAAGACAACATTGTTCAGTCACATACACCTACACAAACAAAACAATATATAATGCCCAATCATTATTTTTAATCTATTATAGATAATCTATATAGATAGCACTCTATCTTAAAAAACTTAAAAAGAAAAACACTCCAATCATTAATAAAAGCATCATACTTAGCCATGTTAAAAATAAAAACTCTTTAAAATTTATCATAAATCTCTTAACGAGTTAAGTAAAATGAGGATTTAATGTTTCATAAAAAAAATCATGAAACGAAAATCATGCATGCTAAACATTATTTCCTAAAAGAAAAGAAATTCAATTAAGCTGTAAAAGGGGTAAAATATTCTGTGGATTATAGACTTTTTCTATTGTGGCGACTACTTTCCACGTATACTATATACCATATACAATGATACAACCGCATAACTTTTACATGAGACTAACCTATAACCAAAAGTGAGATGAGAATTTCATAATTCCAGAATCAGAATATTTCATCTTCATTATCCTTTTTATATTTTTTTTCTTACTACAATTCTATAAAGATATTTGCTACCAATACTTTATCTTCTACAAATACAATTTCAACACTCCTTCTACCGTCATTAGTTATTTCATTTGTTTCTTGATGAACAATAAATGAGTCCCCACCACAAAACCTACTCCGTTATAAATTGTTCTCTTTGGACCCTTCCACATCTCTCTCCATTCTTTCATCTTCTACATCTCACTCCCCTTTGCTCGTTACTATACACTATTCAGAAGATTGGTAGCTACATACTGCATCAATTCAACGTTGTTGCTCACTGTCTCAGAACATCATGGTCTTTGACATCTCTCACCCAGGGCTTCGACTTGGTCTTGGTCTTGGTCTTGGCCTGCAAGACCAGTCGCAAGAAACTTGCTTGAAGAGCGATGAACAAAGGCAAAGACGAGGCCAGAAGAAAAAGGAAGCGGATCCACGTAACAAGGCTTACCCATCGCTTAGGTTAGGACCACCCCATCATGAGGCAAATAATAATCATCAAGTTACAAAGACTGAATCTGATGAATATCATAATATACAGCCTCGTGCCTCTTCTCCAAGTGCAGTGTCTTCGTTTTCTAACTCATCAAGCATCATCAAGAGAGAGAGAGATCAGTTCGCGGGCGAAGAACTTGAGCTAGAGATAGACAAGTTTCCCTCACACTTCAGGGTTGTGGATCTTGATGAAAATGGTTACCCCAAGAAGAAACTTAGGCTCAACAAAGAACAATCTGCAGTCTTGGAAGATAGCTTCAAGGAGCATTCTACTCTCACTCCGGTATCTTTATTTTCCAACTAATCAATAAATTACCCTAAATCTGCCTCCTACGCTAACATCTTTTCACCACTTTTCCAAGAAAGGTTTGAACGATTTTTATATAGGATTGATTAATAAGAAGATATTTATTGAACCCACATAAATTTAAAGACAGAGGTAGTACTGTTATTTACGAATAATTGAATGATTTTCAATTTTTCATTTAATGAAAGTTCTCTTCCTGTTATTGGCGTTTATAAACCTTTTCGATTACAGACCCGAAAATAGTAAATGTATTAAAGTTCTAAGACTTTTCTTAACGTAGTATAACTATCTAATTATAATTGTTAATCATTAAATTTTTATAGTGGATATACGATACTACACCCTCTATTTCACTTTCGTTTGAGTTTTTTTTTAATAATTTTTAAATTGATTGTCATTTATTTCTTTTAATATAATAATTACAAATTTATTATTATTCTATATTTTTTTATTAGCCATAAGTGAAATAGGTATTTGGATACCTTTTTTTATTAGTATATGTAATAAAACGTTAAACACAGATAAACTGAAACGGTGAGAGTAATAGTTTATCAATAATGTCTCATAAGGCTTTGATATATTTGATATTCACTATAATAAAAAATTACAGAAATTTTTACTAGATTTGAGTGAAAAAAATCTGTCTCAAACCTAATTTTAATTTTTTTTTATTGAGTTGTTTCATTTTGGGTTTGGTCTTGATGGATTTGAGTTATGATCTAATATTATGGACATTAAATAGAGAGATTCTCACAATACGAGATCAGCTCTTGATTATGAACTGAATTCTTTGGGATTATACGATCTCCGTCGCATGAAAGCTGGTAGCGGTCCACAAGATAAGGAAAAATTCGAGGCCAATAATTAAACACTGCAGTGTCTAATAATATTAAAGTTATAATCCTATTAGTAACATTTTGAGTCTTTATAACGATCTTGATAATGAGTATTGGTTTTCTGATCTTGAACATTTCATTTACTTTGGCTTGCTTCAGATACAGAAGCAAGAATTGGCAAATAAACTGAATCTGCGGGCGAGACAAGTGGAGGTATGGTTTCAGAACAGGAGAGCCAGGTCAGTTAATTTCTCTGATATATTTGGATTACATATTCACTTAAGTACAAATCTGCATGATGCTTCAATCCACGTTCCATGAAACGTAGAAAATGTTAGCAACATGTGTATGAATCTGGTTTTCACTCCCTATTTTATAACTTTTAATAAATTTTAACTAAAACTATCTATAACGCACTGTTTATATAATTTGTTTTAAAGAACGTCTTATTTAGCAAAATTCATCACTGAAGCGTTTCTTTTTATGGATTCGTTGAAGCATCCAACGAGATTTTTCTTATTTACTTTGTTTATATAAGCACTGTTATTTAATTAAGTATTTTGGTCTATATAATATACTCTTCAGGTTAACAAACAAAAATTAAGCACTTTAATATTAGAAGTATAATTTTTTAAAATCTATGATATATAGTAAGGTTTATAAATTAAAAATAAACAATTCATTTAAGTTATAATGATAGATTGAAGATATTGGAATGATACTGTATCTGTAACAGTAACTGGTGGCATGCAATTATTATACATGATATATGTGTGGTAGGACAAAACTGAAACAAACGGAAGTGGACTGTGAGTTACTGAAAAAGTGCTGCGAAAGTCTAACAGAGGAGAACAAGATGCTGCAAAAAGAGTTGGAAGAGCTTAAATCGATGAAAACAGCATTGCAGGGACCCATTTTTATGCAGCTTCCAGTGGCAACCCTTACAATATGCCCTTCCTGTGAAAGAATTTGCGGTGGCAGCAGCGCCACCAACAACAATGGTTCCTCTCCCACCACCACCACTGCTTTGCTTGTGGGCCCAAAGCCCCATCATGATCACCACTTCTACAAAAATAACTACACATTCACACAGCCATCTGCAGCTTGCTAGCGAGCCATCTAGAGAAGCTAAATAAGACAAGTTCATTTGCAGGCAATAATTTTTGCTGATAACACTTTCTTTTTATATTTTTTTCTAGTTTTAAATTTCTTACTTAGTACCTTATGTATATACTAGTAAGAAATTTATTCTTGCAAGAATATTTCTCTTTTACCAATGATACATACAGTATAATCCTCCTCTAATTATTTAGATGGAAATCTCTCTTGTAATATTGTGTACTAGAGATGATCTATCGATATGCAGCATATGGTCAATGCATATTGGTTATGGATTAGTGAACAAGATTATTCATTGATTGATCTTTGAATGGCGAGAACCATCTACTTCTTGTATGCACTCCACCCATCAAAAGTTGTAGATAAACTTTTTTGAAATGTTAGTGCGGGTTTGGTATTTCTACCTCAACTTTTCGCGTCCAGTAAACAATTCTCTTTACAAAAATTCTTTGACTTCAAATTTAAAGCTAGTTGAATGGTTATGACTGAGAGTCTTTCTGTTTTATCAATTCTGTGAATGACAAAAAACAGTTTCCCAAAATGTTGCTTTATGGATTGTTTTCTGCTATATAAGTTTGTGACAGATTTATATTTTTTACACGAGTAATGTTGTTGTAACATGTTATTAGTGATGAGATAGAAAATTAATATTTTATTTTTTATTTTAAATAAAAACTGATACATAGTATTAAGAATATTATTTTATTAATTTTTATTTAACTTAGATATTATTTTTCATTTTTTAGAATAAAAAATAAAAAAGATTATTTTAATTTAAATAATTATGACTGAGATATATCTCATATACGAAAGATACACCATCAAAACAATCCTAAAAATTATCATCAGTTAAAAAGTTAAACATAGTTACGGAGATACTCATACAGTGCTTATAAGAAGAAAAAAATAAAATAAAATGACACAATCGCGTTCAGCAAATAAGTCCGGCTGAGCAAAAATAAAGTGATAAGTGAACTCCAAACTATAGTTCAAACAGTACCTTATAATTTAAGACTGCTAACGTAATCAATACCCAATTTCTTGATATATAAATCATCTTGAACTTATTACACAATGTCAACGAAATCACGAAACACAATCTACATTTTCCATTTTCTAATGTGCAACAAGGTTCGTAAAAAAATATGAGTAACAAATTTATCTGAAACATTATTCACCAAGGAAATTATATCAAGCGTTAGAAACATTGAAATAAAACTTTTCAACTAGAACTAATAAACTCGTTAAATACAATCCCAAAGGACCTATGAAGCCCTAGATATAGTAGTGATGATTTTTTATGGCCCTAAACGGTATTGGCCATTAGCGAAGTAGAGGCCATCCATATAGAGAGTTGCATTCTGCGTATGCAGGCCATCCTTAACCATATACTGCATGTCTTCAGATGGTTTCCAGTGCCGCTTCCTTTGGTTTATGAACCAATTATTTATTTGCTTCTGATCCAAACAGGTTGCTTCAGCCAGTGCCACCTTCTCTGATTCCTACGGTTAATTCCCGAGGAAATTATTTATGAGACAGAAATATGAGTTCTGAAGAAACACTGAGGCAACTACAGATAAATTTACATACCGAAGGATATGGCCATTTGTAATGTAATTCCCACCAGCTAAGAAGCTTTTGCCTAGCATCTTTAGGCAGTTTTCCGTTTTTCTTTGTCTTTGAAAGCTCTTTCTTAAGGCTACTTAAGTAACCACTGTATTTTCTCAGCAAGTGGCTTTTCAGTTCACGCTCTTCTGCTCCGGGATCAATTTCGTTCAGTTCTGCTTCTCCACCACTGTTGTTGTCTTCATCCTCTTCTAATGAACCTATGTTTTCACAATTATCATCTGAACCAATGTTAAGCATCTCATAAATTAAATTCATGGGGTTGTACAATAGAAATAATAACGCATCTGATCCATTTATAATGGATACTGCTTTTACTCAGATTGTCTATATCACATTTCTTTATAATTTTTTCTATCACGTCAAACATTATACATTACACTTCGGTATTTCTTTTTCTAATTTCTCACCTTTAGATATATTGTTAACTTATAACCACATTTTTCTTTTACAATTACATAGTCGTATTTCCAAGTATTACACAAATTCAAGGCTTGTTGTCTTGTATCAAGGAATTAGTATTTTTTTGTGTGTAGTGTAGCTTAACGAAAATTATGCCAAGGCAGAACGAGATTGAATTGATTATGGTACTTGGCTAGTTTAACGACGGGTAAAAATCATGTAAGGGTGTATTTTAAGAGGAAGATTGAGCGTAGGAAGAAAAGGATATATTTTGGTTTTCTCTATTGCAACACTGAATTACAGGTAAATCTGAATGAACTAGTTAAATCACTTGATTAATCTGTATTCAAGTACTAGTTAAGAATTATAATTTGATATTGTCTCCCTGCTAAACCTTTTCCTGGTTTTGTGAGGCAGTATGCCAATAACGGGGTACCACCATTCATACTACCTGTAGATTCGTCGAATCGAGCTTCTATCAGTCAACACAAACAATACAAAACACGCGCAATAGAAACCGAATGAGATTTGGCCTCTTGTCAGATTAAGCTTATACATTATATACAAAGTCATGATCACGAGATTAGCGTGGGAGAGTCTTACTATGATGAAGAAATTCTAGGTCACACATATCAAGTTACCAGCTACAGGAAGATATATTGGAGATATCAGTACTGTGAATTGTCCAAATTAACGAGGCTTCCAGAATAATCATAACCCACAGAGCTGCTAACACGCTCTAGATATTTACTTTGACTATGAAGTATAAAAAAGGAGAATGCAAATAAGTTTCTTAAAGGAATTAATTAAGAATATTAGGAATGAACTTTTATTGTAATCTCAAATAAAATTTTGAAGAACTATTTATTTTTTAACTATTAGTATTACTCTTGTTCAGAACCTGAAAACTATTTCCAGATTCAGATGTACTATGCTAACTAACGCATTCGTTCTAAAAGGAGTAAATGACCTCGTGACTGAAAGAAACACAGAAACTTAAATGAGAGGGTCAGACCGAGGGGTCATGTGTTAAACATTTACTGAGAATCTACAAAACCAACCAACAGTGTTCTTGAAGATGCAGGTGATTGGAACAGCATCCAATGTGATTATTCTTAGTAGATCTAGTAGTTACTTTTTAAAATCCATAAAAAGAAAACAAATGTGATTGAATAGCATTTCTTTTTGTTGTAAAATGCCCCAGGACTGCACTGACCTCGCTGCAATGATGACAATGTATGCGAAAGAATATTAATACTATACCACAACCCAAAGAATCCACGAAAACCTAGCACAACTCGTAGTTTTAACTATCAAAATGTGGAATCTATTAAGAAAAATCATATTATATGACGAAAAGAGAAAAATTGGAAAAAAATATTATGTATTGTTAAAATCTGAGTGTCTATACTATCATGTCTCTTCTGGGTCCCTCCCCAATACATGAGGTAGAACTTTCGGTCAAAATTTCTTGACTCCAAATGCAGAAATAGCAAGTTTATGAAGGTTAAGATCCAACCGCACATGGTCCAGACCAAAATTTTGTTTAATATATCTAATTATAGTATGTTGTAGAATTAGTTAGTTCGTTCGTTCTCAACGATATAAAAAATTAAAATAATGATTTGTGTTGCAGAATGAGTAACGAAAGTAAAGTAGGAATAGTGTACTCCACTCCCCCAAAAAGAAAGATAAAATACCAGAGAAAATCCGCACGGTTCCATTGCAAAGAGTGTTGAGCTGAGTTTCTACCCTCCGCATGAAATCCATAGCTTCTTGTATGGGCCTGGTTAACTCCTCTCGATACTTCACAAGCATGTCATAGTAAGCTTCCTGTTTTCCACACACCATATTTCAAAGTCTGACACTAATAGATTTTACCAGAAAGTGGAGGAAATTAATAAGAATTAAATTAAACGCACAAACCCACCATGAACTGATCAAGTTCTGGGTCCTTGCAGGTTCCCCTGGACCTACCCAAAGATCGCTGCCGTGCCTCAAAATCCTGTTTAACCGCAGCCAAACGCGCCACCACTTCTGGCGGAGCTCCTACCTACAAGTCACATAATTAAGAGAAAGTTAAGAATATTCATAAACTGAATAATTAAATTTGTATGTATATATATGGGGCACCATACAACATTATTTTTTTATGCTAATGAGAAATTGATCAATTAATCATTGTGGACCTTTTGGCAGTCCATGTAAACTTGTAAAAGATTGGAGTAGTGAGGATGAGCAATGATTTTGGCTTTTATGTCTTCAAGTTGGTTAGAACTCTGGCTTCCCCCTTGCTGAGGATGCGTTGTGTGGTGAAGATTTGGTCTCATTAGAGGGTACTGGAAGATAGGAGAGTTGTTGGACTCGATTTTCACAGTAGAGTGTGGTACTTGATCAGGCTGAAAACACTGATCAGATCCAACAGATTGAAGATGAAAAGTGCTCAATGGAAGCTGGTGGTGGCGGTTTCCTACCCTTGAACCACCAGCCAAGAAGTACAACAGATTTTCCCTTGGACTTGAACTTGGACTTGTGTTTTCCCTCACGTGATTATTATTGGTGTATTCCTCCATTTATTAAGTTTTATAAGAATAGAAAAACTCTCTCAATTAGCTATATAATTAACTCCAGCTGAAGTAGAGCTTCTACGAATACTCCTCAATATCCAGAAGAAGTGATGTCCATAAACCCTAAGAGATTGATGGTTAAAGAATTATACTAATGATTTATATAAATTGTTTGAATTCTCTAGAACATCATGATGTCAAAATATTGATGGTTAAATAATTATATGATGATAATAAGTAAACTTATTAAGATTATCAGACTTTGGTATTCATAATAAAATTTATGCACACAGAGGGATTTTGTTTATGAAATTGAAAGTTAATTAGAAGAATATGTCTTCGTAGTTGGGAATAGTTAAGTTCTGCAAAAAAATATAAAAAAAATACTCAATTCTACAAGTTTAAAAAAACACTTCATCTGAATCTCAGCATGAAAATTGTTTTGAATGTTAGTTTATGATTTAACAGTAAATATTAAACTTAACTACACATATATTAATATTTTTGTTATTTAGGAACAATAAATATTAATAATAATAGATATTTTATTAATTTTCATATTATACAGTTTTTTTTTCAAAGATAAGCACACAGCATTCTATCATGATTTCTTGCTTTGACAAAACCCTCAAAATTTTCATAACAAGCAGGGTTCAAACGTAAATCCTGAGTGTATACGATTTAATCTATCCTGAATAATTCATTTATCTTCACTGTTTGAATCAAAAAAATTCATTAAAAAAATTCAATTAATTTATTTCCAAACAATTAGTTAATGCTAAACTTATAGTAAATACTTCACATGTTAAAAAAAATGAAAATAATATTATATTGATAAATTTTACAATAATAAAGGGATATTACCATTATTATATTATTATATAATAAAATTGTTAAATGATTTATGAAAAAGAAATTGTCAAAATATCATTTTTTTTAATTCATAGTACAAAGAAATATAATATTAAATATGTTTTAATTAATTTATGACAGATTATTTTAATTATATCTGTATAATAGGAAAATGATGTAATTATCATGTTTTATGATTTAAATTTTATTAAAATACAGAGTTGCATGGGAGCAGTGGAGGTGCATTATTGGGGCTTCACCTTTTTCCAATCACATCGCCATCTAATCATATTATCTCAATGAGCTGTTACGGTCAAGTCTCACAACTACACATGAAAAATAAATCTATATTTATTATATTTTTTATGAATTTATTACTTTTAGTAATTATATTCATATTTAATTATTTAAAAAAAACAAAATTTCAAAGAAGTATATATATATATATATATATATATATATATATATATATATATATATATATATATATGAAAAGGAGTTGCTTATTTTTTGTATTTAAAAAAAAGTTTTAGTTTTTTATATACTTAAAAAAATGATTTGATAATTATTTGTTAAAATAATTTTTAAAAACTATTCTTTTTTTATTAATGTTATTCAAGTCTTCGGTAACATTTATATTATATCATCTATTTTTCATTGTTATTTAAAATATTTTTTTATCATCTTGATATCATTTTCTTTTATTTAAAATAATTTTTAAATTAGAATTATTATATCAGTTTTTTCAAATTTTTAAAAAGTTAATTTATAAATTTACTTTTTTTAAAATAAAAATTCAAATGAAATAAATCTTAGGTTATAGATTAGATGAAAAAAATTATATGATAAAAAAATAGTTCATTTTTAATTAAAGAATATTTAAATGAATAAAATAATAAATAATTTGTTGTTCAGCGTTATAAATTAGATGAATTATATGATTAAAGAAATATTATATGAAAAATTCATTTTAATAAAAAACCCGTTCTCAATCTTTTTTTCAAATATATAATAAAAGTACTTCATTTTTAATTAAAGAGATTTTAAATGAATAAAATAATAAATAATTTGTTGTTCAAATATTATAGATTAGAAGAATTATATGATTAAAGTAATATTATATAAAAAATTCATTTTAATAAAAAATACGCTCTCAATTTTTTTTTCCAAATATGTGATAAAAAATATTTTATTTTTAATTAAAAATATTTTAACTGAATAAACTAATAAATAACTTCAAATCAAATTTTTATACATTGTTTATTATTTAACTACAATAATTAAGGATGTCGATCAATTGACACCTTTTTTAATTAATATACAGCTAAAACTATTAATAAAATAATATATATTATTATTTTATAATATAATCGATTGTCCAATAATTAATTTGTGATTTTTACATGCTATTAACTAGAGATTTCAGAAATGCATTCAGAAGTAGTTGAGATATAGAATCAAGTAATTATCATAAACTTTACTTACGCAAATGACTTAATATGCTTATAAATTATATAAAATATTATATTAATAATATGTAAAACTTGAATTTATTTTTAATCATAATTAATTTTCAATTATTTTCACAAAGGTGTTGCTTAAATGTATATTTGGGGATTAAACGTGTGTATATAATTGGAGATATTAATTTCAATGTAAGTCAATTTTAGATATACAATAATTTTATTTAACTCTTTATTAAATAGGTTAGGTTTGAGTATATAAAAAAACTATTAAATTATATAACTCGATTTTTTTTATTTACTTTAATATAATAAAAAATAGTATACATATTATAACTTTATATTTAATATTTTCATAATTTAAAAATAAATAAATAAATATTTAAGATAAAAATTAAATTATTAATAAAATAAAATATGTTATAACTTATTAAGTTTATGTCTTATGATTTGGTATTTACCCTCGTATATTTTAAAAATTTCATGTTATAATATGAAAAAGGACCTTTTAAATAAGTTAATAAGTCATATCAATCATTTAAAATTGTAAATAAAACAAGGTTTTAATAAATTTATAGTCTAAATCAGACTTTAATTTTTCATAACACGTCAAATCTATTTACGCGAAGTCTGACCTAACTTACTCTCACCTTATTTATAATTGGACACCTTAAATTTGTTCCTCCATTTGCTTTTTGTTTTTTTTTTTAATTTGATCCTCACACTTTTTTATTTTATAATTGTAATCTATTTATTAATTCGACATTTAATTTTTAACAAAAAACATTAACATGATAATTTATTTACCTTTTAAATAATTTTAAAATGAATAAATCCTTCAGTATTTTATTAATTGATAAATATTTTAAACATAATTATTCAAATTTAACAACCAATTTTACATTTAAAATGATTAAAGGTAATATTTATTTTTAAATAATTGAAAAAATGTAAATAAATGAATAAAATTCAATTTTGATATATTAACAATATAAATATTTTTAGTCCAGTGGATTAAAAATTATATATTTGAAAGTGATTTGTAATGAATATGTTAGATTTTGTTAACAAGAAATCTAAATCCAGTACCTATCCCTTATTTTCTTCCATTTTTACCATATGTTAATCTTAAATCTCTTAGTTATGATATTAAGGTTACTTCTATATTTTTGAACAAGTGTTTCGTACAAGCTTTGTCTACATTTTTTTTAAATTAAAATGATTTTATACATAAATTATAATTTAAAATTTAGAGAAATTATATATAATAAACTTCTGCAATTCAACATATGTATAGGTTAATATTAATTTTTATATATATATATATATATATATATATATATATATATATATATAAATTCAATCTTTCCTCTGACTTATTTTAATAAAAAAGCTTATGGAAAAATTCATTCAAATATATTCTTAATAATTTTAATACAGGTTATACTATTATACTCCAGTGCAACAAAATCGTGATGTTTCTCTTTAAAAATAATATTTAGATTGATTTTCCTATAACATGTAATTAAGTATATAACATATAATTAAGTGTTTTATAATTAAAAATTTTAAATACGAGTCATAAAAAAGATTGACTAATCCTTATGGGAAATTATTCAAGATTTACAACAGCTAAATTTTTTAATTATGTTATTATTATTATATTATTAATATAGAGTATCACTAATAATATAGTAAAAAAAATATTAAATCAGCAATCAATCATTAACATTGCATTACCAAATTGGTATTCAGCAAACCATACAAATGATTAAGAAAAAAAAAAGAGAGGTTAAAATCAGATGGATGATAACACAATCAAGAAACACAAATTCTAAGGTGACACAGACACTTAAACATCGATTGATACCACCAGTGAGGAGTCACCCTTGTCAACAACGAATGTCTTAGAAACTTTCTTTGCTAAGGTCACAATTTCCACGTTGTATGTTCCACTGAAGCCTCTGAAGCTGAATTGCCCTTGCTCATCAACATAACCATGGCTGTGAGACAACCACTCTTGTTTGAGAGAAAGGAATCTTTTCCCAGCTTCATTGAGGTCCCCTTCTGCATTCACCAGGTGTGAATTTTCCCGGCTCATAAATAACTCCCAAAATCCCCAGAGCATTACACCATCTATGGCAGGGTGTGCCAAAGCTTCCCGCAACATAACTTCTAGATCATCAGCTCTAACATACTCATTGGTGGAAGACACATCAAGCTCAGTAAACCATATTGGTAAACCAAGAGTCCCCAATTTATCAAGGGCAGAACAAACAATAGGCCCCACAGGACTATCTATGTGACCTTGAATCCCTATTCCCCCAACTGGGGCACCTTGCTGTTGCAAATCAAGAATATGTTGAATGTATTTTTCTGGGGATGATCTGGTGTCACATCCATCTTCAATATGATAGTCATTCACAAAAAGGGTAGCAGATGGGTCTAGTTGGTGTGCAGTCTTGAACATGTTTGCCCTTATATCCTTACCTAGTCTATCCTGATAAAAGGAACCATGCAACATTTCATTGTTGACATCATAGTGTCGGAACTTACCTTTGTAGCGAGTCAATAAGCCATTCAAGCGATTTTGAACAGCTGTCATCAAATCAGTTTTATTCAGTGATTTGATCCATTGTTGAACATTGCCATCCACGTCCCAGAAAATACAATGACCCCTGGTGTCTATCTTGTTCTTTTGACATAAATCTAGCATTTCATCAGCATCCTTGTAATTCAGATTACCTTGTTGTGGCTCAGTCCAATACCACTTCAACTCATTCCCAAAAACAGCCCAGTTAAAATGTTTCACAAAGAAGTCAGCAAAATCTTCATTGTCAATATTGTTTCTACTAATGCACGTTCCTATGGGAAAATCATTTTGTATTTGTCTAACTCTCACCAAGGTTCCAAGATTTCCAATTGAATCCAGCCCAGAGAATTTTAGGGTAATATCACGCTTACGGATCTGCAATGGGAGCAAGTGAGAAATAGTTGAAATGAGAAACAGAGGAAAACTACAAAGAATGTAAATTTATCACATATTCTATAATGTATATAATAGAAAACGGTCTAGGTATTATTGTCTGACTTTATGAAAAAATCAAAATAATACATCATAGTCTCAACTTAGCAAGCACCCTATAACATCTTCTTTCTGCCGTTTATGACATTTTATGATATATGTGTCAGTTGGCAGATCATACAAGACGTAGACATAGGAAAAAAAGAAAAACATACATTATACTTCAATCGGACAAGACAACGCAGTAAAACTCTCAACAATATTATAGTTCCATGCCAATCTATTAATCATTATCTAAACATGTTTCGAGTCATTTTCTGCACCAGAGAATTATCTGCAAATCACTTGAATTTGGGTTCTCGTACCATTTTTTTGTTTTCTACTTTTGTTATTGGAAAATGGGACATGGGTACAAGAGATGTCGCATTTGATAACTCACACTGTCAGTGAAAGTATGATGAAAATAAGGGATAGGAACATATGCTTTTGTCCTTCTCAATGTAAGTGTATTTCAATGTGATTTTAGTCTCCTCTATAATTCCCAAAAAATCCTATTGTTTCTATACAATCCTGTCATCATTTACCACTGGCCTGAGGCACTAATCTAAACAAGTCGTGTAACCTCCTACCTCAAAATGATCTCTAACATAATAATTTTAGATATATGTCGTGTCACTGCTAAAAGATGAGAGGAACTATTCTTAAAATCTATGAAAACTAAAATCAATCAACTTTTTAGAACTATAACCAAATTTAGTCATATTTTCATGATAAAAAAAACATGATTAAATCTAATATGATATAAAATAGACCTGGATTTTACCTTGTCTGTCTGTCTCCTCAAATATTTAAACCTTGCTTGTCTATCAACAGCAAAAATTTGAAGTCCAGCAACCATCAAATCAACACCAGAAGCTGGGCCTTGAATATATACCATAACCTTAGATGGCTGCTTTTCAATTCTAAAAGACCCACCAATTTCGTGCCACCTGCCATCAGCAACTTCAACTTGTCCCCCATTGACCCACTGATTATCAACACTAAGGGCAACATTTACATTCTGAGGCCCAGTTGATGCAGAACCGATCCTGACCCAAGCAGATACTTGATAAGTTAGAAAGAGTTTCAATTTCTCAGAGATCATCTGAGCAGGACCCATCCATGTTTGTGTGCGATTGGTTACAAGGAGGTAGCGCCCACTCAAGGATTCATGAGGCCCAAGGGAGTCTCTTGCCATTGGTGGGATTATACGCGGTGAACTACTTCCGACGCTCAAAGTACAATTACCAAGTGGAAACCATCCATCAGTACCATTGGCCAGATTACTGTTTTCAATTATGTTAACACCAAAAGCAGCAATCTGCAAAATCAAAATTAATGTTAAATGCTTGAAACATACATAATTGATCCTTCAACAAAACTCTACCAATATGCGCGTATAGTCACATTTTTTATTTAAATAAGAAACGAGCACAAATAAATTCCAGCAATTCTAATTTAATATGTGAAAGTAATTTACAGACAATAATTTGAAAGCCCAACCTCACAATCTGGGGGTGTTGAAGGTGGTGTTTTAGGTGCATGTTTTATAACCAAAGTATTGACAAGAATGTCAGTGCCTGGAGGGGGACCTTCTAAATAAACTACTACTTTTGATGGGGAACCATTTAGAAGGAATTTTCCCTGCATTTGAACCCAATCTTTATCTGTTGCCTGCACTCTTTAAACACACAAAAGCTTTTAATCAGCAATTATAGAAGCATTCTGATATTAGTTATTGATCAAATAATAGTGCACCAAATTCTTTTCTTTCATATATAATTAATAAACCAGAAAAGTAATATCATTCAGAGCCTATGTTAAGCGATGTAATAAAGAATTAAGATTGACACTAACTTGGCAATGCTTATATACTGCTCCCGAAGATCAGGGGCTTGAACCCACAAAGTAGCCCTTACATCAGAACTGGTGACATTGTTCCCAAATATCCGAACTAATGCAGTAACTTCGTAGATAAGCTTGCGCTGCACTCTTCCAGTGATCTCCTGCTGAATCCCGTTCCAGCTTTGGGTACGTTCTGTTGCAGATGCAAAGAATTTACCAGACTTTGGAAGAATTTTCCCATCTCCCATGGAGTCATGTAGGGCAATCTTGCAGCCTCTTCCAGACCAATTATTCAGGCCATCATCAAACTGGGGATTGGTTATGATGCTTTCATCTTCAGTGGAAACGCAACCCTGGTTAATTGTCTTCTGAAAAGAGGGAAAAACGCATCACATTTTAGTGTTTGTGGAAACATTAAGATTTCATGAAACAAACAAGAAATTAAATGACACGTCACACTTCATTGCAACTTTGATCTAGCAGTTGAAAGGAGAAACCACATCATAAATATGAGCTTAATGTTATTAGATTTCCATATAATTTGCTATAATTCTCTATTCACATTCCTTAACATTTCAATATAGTATATACAGGGCTCTTCTTGTTAACAAATAAATAAGGAAAAGCAACAGAATAATATGAAATTTGCTGAATAGAGAGAGAAGTAAAAGTGCATGCCTCAGAGTGGTTTCCTGCATCGATCGTCAGTAAGTTTTCCATAGTTTCTTCAGACTTCTAAGCCAATAAAAAATCAAGCAGGAGACCTTCAATTAGGAAAAAGAAAAAGAACAACAAAATCAATTCATCATTGAACAAATATGACTAACTAAGAACGATAGTGTGTGAAGACAGTTCTCTTACAGTGGGACTGAAAATTGGAGACTCTGCTTGTGAAGGCGAAGGACCAGAACCTCTTCCATATATTTATACACACAGTGACTCAGCAAATTTGCGAGTGAAGGCTACGGAAAAATGTGGGACCAAGCAGCCAAACTCATCAACGTGAACTCCATTGTGGGAATGCCGTTAGCTTTTCGTCTCAAATGAATTACACAACTGATTGTTATTAAATACCCTTTTAAGCAATCCCCATAAAAGGGAGAGAAAAGAAAACAGAGCGAAAGAGTTGGGTTCTTCTGTTTTTGCTTATATTTTTCCTTTCCTGTTGCTTTGTCCTGCAGATAAGCAATGCTTGAATTGGAATGGAAGCCTAAGGCTCGTAGGTCGAGGAAGAACACTTTGGTTCCTTAATTTAACATTACCACTCATTCATTCGCACCAGACTTCAAGGTTTTGCCATAGTTTGGTGGACATAGCTATTCCATCCGCTTATTATATATATTATGGGAAAAGTTATATTGCCAACCTAATCCACTTTCAACTTCCTCGTATTAGTATCAACTCGAATTGCAGACACTTACTCCTTCTTTTCCAAAACAATTTGAAAACTAATTAAAAAGTATTAATTAACATGATAAACTCAACTTCTTTTTCATCTCTATAGAAGAATAACTTTAATCGTGGTAAAATTTTAATTATCTATTTAATTAAATTATGTTTAACTTTTCAATTATTTGCGTCTCCTTTACAAACATAAGTTATTCTGTATTAAAAAAACTATTGGGAGAAATAATAAATAAACTCCTATCAGATCCCAAGGAAGCAAATGTATGAAATTATGATTCAGGGCTTGTTGGGGTTCTTCCTTCTTGGAACTTGCAATTATTAGCAAGTAATTGATTATTTGTTAATGATGATTGGATCGAATTCATTAAAACTCGTTTTCATTTTTTATTCTACAATATACTTATTAGAATGGAGAAATAATCAGATGTCAAAATTATAGTTGAAGAAGGCATTATTGAGAATGACGTTGGAGATTTAATGTAAACACGGATGGATGCAGCCTCTCCCTGCTGCACAAAAAAGTTAATGCATGCGTAAATTTTGAAACTTAAGGAAGGTATTCAAATTGATTTCATACACTAAATTAAAAACAAAAGTAATTGTTATGTAAATGTACCACGTGTTTGTGATCTTGTGGTTTCATGATTGGTTCCCACCATATATTATTATAACATATATTAGATTAAAAACTAATCTCATTCGGCGGTTGTAGAAACCCACTGAAATACCCACAGAATATTTTCTATTTGAATTTGTCTTTTATATACAACGACAGCGAGTAGGCTTGAATTTAAACATGATAGGCCCACTGGAAGTTCTTAAATGAGTTTAAATTAAAGTTATTTATTCATAAATAAAAATTCCATGTTTTATTTAATAAATGTAAACCATTTGATATCATTTTAACCTTAAGATAAACTGCAATATGTTAGTTATTCCACGCAAAGGAATTTTTTCTTAAGTGAAATATTGGATCTAAATTTTGTAAATTAAAATAAATATATATAAATATCATATTGATCAAAGTTTTATATAATTTTTAATATCTGGGTTTCAGAAAAAATAAAAAATGTCATATAGAAGACAAAGTGACTCTGCAAACTAGATAAATATACACCACAAAACTCTTTGATTTCTAGTCGGATTCTCGAAGCTAGTTCACAGATATTCAAACTAAAAATAAATTAACTTTACGCTTTCTTTTGTCCAATCTTTATCAACTATATTTTAAGTTTCCCGTCCATTATTCATTTTTGGTCAATATAACTTGTACCATCGTTAGATTGTTTATAAAGGTAAAAGACAAAATTATAACTGAAGGTAAAAATGTTTTTTTGATTATTTAATTTCCAAATTTACAGAGGAGGGTTAGCTGTAAAAAGGAAAAGTAAAATTTAAAGATGAATTAAAAATAAAAATATATTTTTTCATAAATAGAATAAAATCTAAAAAAGTTAAGTGTCTTTCTTAAGTATAGTGTCTCAAAAAAAAAGGTTCAATCTTTTTTACTCATGGTATTTAAGTATTATGCGTTTTTCAAAACCAAAAGTTACTTACTTTCAACCCTTTATATAAGAAATTAGTTGGTGTATTTCTTTTATAATTGTAATAAACATATATTTTTAGTCAGATATAATAATTTATATTTTCATATTATACTCTTAATTTACTACGAACTTTATCAATGAAACACTTATGTATTTCTCGTATAAATAGATGTATTGTCTTATTAACCATTAAAGGCATACTAACTTAATAAAAAATTGCATGTAATATCTTTAAATATAATCACCATTTGAACACTTAATTATTATTATTATAAATGTTTATAAAAGAATTTAAATTATGATATTATTAATTAAAATCAATCAATTTAATTATTTCAATTAATCTTAATAATATTTACTATTGGTTAAAAACTATTAGTTTACTTTAATTTCCTTTTCCATGTCCTACTAATTATATTCTAAATATTAAATTTAACTCACGGATTAACAGTAGATATATATACAGTCTCAAATAATTCATCATAATTAACATGTATAATATTAAGGACAAATTTCGGTAGCTGTCCAACAAACCATTTCATATAAAAAAATGGGTCTTAAACTCTAAAAAAGAAAAAAAAGCTTACATTTATTCAGTTAAATTTAATTAAAATTTAAACTTTACTTAATAAAAAAATATTAATCTTGAGTTTAAATTATTTATGGTTTTTTATTTTTATGAAATTTTTCTTAAAATATTTTTGAATTATATATATAAATATTATTTCTAACACTAATTTATTAATAAAAGTATATATATAACAACTTTTCTCTCAAAATGGAAAAGTTATATGTTTAAAAAAATTATTAAAAAAATAATTAATTAAATTTTATTTATGTTTCCGTCAAGGTAAATGAGTATAATGTCAAAATTTCACAACTTTAATTTAACTAATTTAATTAATAAAGTCTAATCAAAAGTTTAAATTATTTATTTAACCTTAAAAAATATGAGTAAATAATAAGTGTAACCTAAATAATTTAGAAATAACTAAAGTTATTTACACATTGAAATCTTTGCAAGCTCGCGTACCGTACACCAAAGACACGTGCCTAAAATAGCAGTTATCAACAACATAACGGTAACGAAATTGAAATATTTTTCCGTTTATTTAAACGGATATATTTATCGATAAAAACAAAGAGACGGAAGGATAACACCAACTCTTAAATAGCAACAAAGCCATGTGGAAACTGGACACATCATCATCATCATCATCGAACTATAGATATTATGATGTTCCTTAATGTTGACTCAACCTTGGTTAAATAACCCCTCTACCCACCACCTTATATACGTACACTCACTCCCCGGAACAAACCAACACAGACCAAATCACAAAACCATGATAGCAAACGTTCAAATCCCCCACTGGGACTCCGCCGCCGCAGACGGAGCACCTCTCTCCCCGTTCTCTCCCAATGCGCCCGACACCGCCTCATTCTCCTCCGATCATTTCCGGATGTTCCAGTTCAAGGTGCGCGCCTGTCCACGTGGCAGGTCCCACGACTGGACCGAGTGTCCGTACGCCCACCCCGCCGAGAAGGCTCGTCGCCGGGACCCCCGCAAGTTCCTCTACTCCGCCGTGGCCTGCCCCGATTACCGGAAGGGGAACTGCAAGAGGGGTGACACGTGCCAGTTCGCGCATGGCGTCTTCGAGTGCTGGCTCCACCCTTCTCGCTACAGAACCCAGCTCTGCAAAGACGGAACTAATTGCCGCCGCAGAGTTTGCTTCTTCGCTCACACTAACGACCAGCTCCGCCTCGTAACCGAATCATCCTCTCTTTCCTCTCCCACTTCGGTTATTAACTCTTCCTTCTCCGATTCTCCACCCTCTTCTCCTTACGTACAGAACATACAAGACATAGTTACCTCAATGCGGAGTGTTCAACTGGAGGATGGACTTTATTCGGGTTTGACCCGGTGCGTGTTCGGGTCACCACGTGGCGGGTTTTTAAGTGCTAATGGGTGTGAGGAAGAAGAGCCTGCTATGGAGAGAGTGGAATCTGGAAGAGATATTAGAGCGAGAATCTACGCGAAGCTTAGTAGAGAGAATTCGATTGGAGGTTCTGCTCCTGACATTGGATGGGTATCGGAACTGGTTAATGGATTGGGTGGCATTTGATTTGGGTCTGTATAGTTAAGTTGTATAATGCAATAAAATAAAAGAAATAAAATTGCATGTACATAGTTGTTGAGTTGAGAAGAGACTCTTGGGTGTCTCTGTTTTGTAATTCCTTGTCTGACATTTTTTTACATTTGCTCCTGCCTGCCCAAGAATGGGTGGCAATTGATTGTATCAAGTGTTCAATTCTGGACTGTGTTTTTCTGTTACCATCCCATGTATGTCTGAGGAATGTCAAAAATCAGAAGAAGATTGAATGATGTTTATTTTTTATGTTCTGAGAACTTCTAGGTGACGTAAGTATGTTCGATTCGGGACTTGGAAATAAGCATTCGATTAACGGGAAGACGAAATTGTTCTCTCATTTCGCCACATGCAAGTATTAACTTGATTGCTTTATTTACTGCTATGATAACTCATTGTGAAGCTTTGATTCTTCAAGTATTATCTTTATGCCTTCTCCTGGATTTTTTAAAGCTCCTCTACATTTTCTCTGATTTTGGATTTTTCGGATCATTTCAGTTTTGATTGTGTTTGGCTATAATTTTATCAATATCAACAGAACAATATTGAATCCTAAAGCACAGAATGACGAGGGAAGAATTTGTCATTGTGTCAGTAAAAGTAATTTTTAACTCTCCCAATCCAAACATGGAAATGTTAATAGACATTGTCGCATAGTAGAAACCAAAGTAGAAAGCAGACAGACATTGTTTATTTTCCTCAGTAATTCCGCGATTGTGTTTGAAATCTGTGTGTTGCAATGGCTTCTTTTGATTACAGAAGGTAGTAAACTACATGAGATGAGACAGTGATGGTGACATTTAATTATTTTTATTATCCAAAGTTATACAATTTGCACAACAAAACTACTTCGTTATCTATCTAGGTCAGTGCTTGCTTGAGGTAACTTGGTATCTAACTGCTCAAAAGAAAGATTTTAGATGAGCACTCAATTTAATGATTGAAAATTATGAAGCTTCTTAGTGAATATCAACAGAAATGATTATACCTCACTTTTTAATACACTATTTTAAGTGCATGTTAGATTGCATGCATATTGTACCTGATAAATATTTTTTTATATGATTAACAATTATAATAAATAAAAATTTTGATTACATAAATTGTATTTTTAATTTTTAACAAAAAAAATGATAAATAATTTTTAATTATTCACTAGTGCGAGAATAGGGCTTTTACGTCACCCAATTATCGTCGCATGCACGTATATTCGACGTAAATAAAACGCTGTGGCAATTTTGTAAATATGGGACAAAAAATTTACGTCGCACACCCCAATATGCGACGTAAAAGATGACTTTTTACGTCGCTTGCTGCACTGCGCGACGTAAAAAGTCTATTTTATTTCCCTCCCGACCCACTTCCTCGTCTCGCGCAACCAGGGTTTTTGAGAACGACGACGAGAACGACGACAACAGACTACCTCGCACACCATTTGCGAGCGGTTTACGGTGAAAAGCATCTACATTGTCGTGTCATTTGACGAACTTCATCTTTCTCCCCGATTGGATTCGAGTTTGAAATCGGTTTTCGTCTACACTCGAGGTTAGTGTTCATTGTCATTGCTATATGTTTACATTGAATCCGTGATTGTTTTTGGGGATCTCAATCACGTTATAGTATGAATGTCTCCACTTGGATTGTTATTGGAATGTAGTTATTTGTTTATTTGTTTGAGTGCATTCGGTTTACACACTCCATTGTTGTTGGAACGTGCTTTGTTGTTTGTATATTAATTTTTTTACATATAATTTTTAAATCTTTAGGAGTGACGAAACTTTATAACATAATATGAATCGAAGTTGGATGAATGCACGTCGTATTAGTGAAGAGTACGAAAAGGGAGTTGAGGAATTTCGAAATTTGCTAGTGAAAATGGAAAAGCTATGAAAGGGACATATTATTGTCCATGTGTTCGTTGTTTGAATCAAATTCGTCATAAACTTGAGGATATACGTGATCACTTGTTTGTTTATGGTATTATTAAGAGTTATACAATATGGACATGGCATGGAGAAATATTAGACATCCCAACTGTGTCAACTACGGACAATTTTGATGAAGGGATGGATGATAATCTAGAGGATATGATACGTGATATTGGTGAAAAACATTTTATGAAAGCACATCTATATGATTCTTTGAAATCTGATTTTGCGCAACAATTGTACATAGGATGTAGTTTTACAAGATTATCGACAACTTTAAAATTGTTTACTTTAAAAGCAAGAAATGGATGGACTGATAAAAGTTTCACCGAATTATTGGAGTTGTTGAAGGAGATGCTTCCTGAAGATAATACATTACCTATTCGTAACTATGAGGCAAAGAAGATATTATGTCCAATGGGTTTAGAGTACAAGAAAATACATGCATGTCCTAATGATTGTATATTGTACGAAATGATTTTGCTAAATTAAAGATGTGTCCGACATGTGGTTTGTCGAGGTTCAAAACCAAAGTTGAGGAAAGTAGTGGTGAGGAAGAACTAGATGGTCCCCCTGCTAAGGTGTTATGGTATTTGCCAATTATACCTAGGTTTAAAAGATTATTTGTCATAAAAGAAGATGCAAGAAACTTGACATGGCATGCAAATGGTAGAAAATGTGACAATCTTCTTCGACATCCAGTGATTCTCCACAATGGAAAAGGATTGATGAAACCTTTCCAGAATTTGGTGCAGAGCCAAGAAACTTGAGAATTGGATTAGCTACGAGATGGGATGAATCCTTATGGAAATTTAAGTAGTAAACATAGTTCATGGCCAGTTATGTTGATCATTTACAATTTGCCTCCTTGGTTATGCATGAAGAGAAAATATATGATGTTATCTATGATGATTTCGGGACCTCGACAACCAGGAAATGACATAGATGTATATCTTAGTCCTTTAATTGATGATTTGAAGATGTTGTGGGAAACAGGAGTGGATGTATTTGATTCATATCACGAAGTGAATTTCGGGTTGCGTGCAATGTTATTTTGTACTATAAATGATTTTCCAAGCATATGGTAATTTGAGCGGTTATAGTGTGAAAGGTCATTTAGCGTGTCCTATATGTCAAGAAGACACAAGTTATATCCAATTGAAACATGGACAAAAAGCTGCGTACAATAGGCATAGAAAGTTTCTAGTTGCTAACCATCCATATCGTAAAATGAAGAAAGCATTTAATGGATGTCGGGAGAATGCGGTTGCATCGAGTACCACGCAATGGTGAACAAGTATATGAGCAAGTGAAAAATATTAATATTGTGTTTGGAAAGACCCAAAAGAAATCCAATGAGAGAAACATTTGGAAGAAACAGATCCGTATTCTTCAATCTTCCTTATTGGTGTAAGTTGGAAGTTAGACACTATATAGATGTGATGCATGTTGAAAAAAATGTTTGTGATAGTGTAATTGGGACATTGCTTAACATAAAAGGAAAGACAAAAGATGGAATAAAAGCAAGACAAGATTTGGCGGACATGGGTATACGTTCGAATTACATCCACAATCGGTTGGAAAACACACTTACTTACCTCCGAGCTTGTCATACTCTATCAAAGAAAGAAAAGAGAAGCTTTTGTGAGTGTTTACGTGAGGTCAAAGTGCCACAAGGATACTCCTCAAATGTTAAGAGTCTTGTGTCTATGCAAGAGTTGAAATTAGTTGGTTTAAAGTCTCATGATTGTCATGTGTTGATGCAACAACTTTTACCAGTGGCTATTCGAAACATCTTACCAACTTACGTTAGAATTGCTATTACTCGGTTATGTTTGTTTTTCAACGCCATTTGTAAAAAGGTAATTGATCCAAAAAAGTTAGATGAATTAGAAAATGAAGCAATTGTGATAGTGTGCCGAGTTAGAAATGTATTTTCCCCCTTCATTTTTTGATATCATGGTGCATTTGATAGTCCATTTGGTAAGGGAAATTCGGTTATGTGGTCCAATTTTTCTTAGATGGATGTATCCTGTTGAGAGATACATGAAGATCTTAAAAGGATATGTGAAGAATCAGTACAGGCCAGAAGCTTCTATTGTGGAAAGGTACATTGCAGAAGAAGCCATTGAGTTTTGTCAAGGATACATGTCAAAATCAGAACCAATAGGTATTCCTAAGATGAGACATGATGGAAGATGTGAAGGTAAGGGTACTCGAAATTTGAAGATTAAAAATGTTAGTCGGAAAGAAGTTGACCAAGCACATTTATACATATTGAACAACACTGATGAAGTAATCCCTTACATATCACAACACATAACTGAAATAAAGGCAACACATCCACGAATGAATGAAAAATGGGTATTGAATGAACATAACAAAAGTTTCCTTTCTTGGTTTAAAAAAAGGGTATATGTTGAGATTAATGCTTCAGAAACACTTTTGAGACTTGCTCGTGGGCCTAATAGTGATGTCATTACATTTGGTGGGTATGACATTAATAACTATTGTTTCTACTCAAAAATAGTGGGGTCACAATTCAAGCTGAATCTATGCATTTTTCTAGTTCTAAGGACAAAAATCCTATCACAGCTTCTATGAGTTATTTTGGGGTCATACAAGAGATATGGGAAATTGATTATGTTACTTTTAGGGTGCCTGTCTTCAAGTGTAAATGGGTTGAAGGGAATACGGGTGTGCGAACAGATGACCTAGGATTTACTTTGGTTGATTTGAGTAAAGTTGGGTATAAGGATGAACCTTTTATTTTGGCATATCAAGCGAGACAAATATTTTATGTCAAGGATCCATGTAATGAGAGATGGTCAATTGTCCTAGAAGGAAGAAGCATGCACGGAATTCATGAAGATGAGTCTCTAGATATACATGAAACACCTTCATTTTCAAGTAGACCATTTGATGACATAGTTGACAATGAAGTTGATGACATACATGCAATTCGAAGTGATCATGATGAAGGGATATGGGAAAACATACCAACATAATAGGTGTTTATCTTAACATTTTCTAGTTCTTTTTATTCAA